GATATAATTTTGGAGCCCGTTTGGTAATACGAAAACGGCTGTATTAGCTATTCATATCCCAAACTTACATGCCAAATTATTTCAATGATTAGTAGTTGCTTTACATATGTCTTATTGAGTGACGTTTCGTTATAGTATTTCTCTTTTTGGTTAACGAACCATCTTTATCACAATTTCAGTTGCTTATAGTTTTTACAGCTAAAGAAATATGTATGGTTTTTACAGCTAAAGAAATATGTATAGTTTTTACAGCTAAAGAAATATGTACACATATTCATATTGTTTATTCTTTTCACAAGTTTGTGATATTGTTTTTTATTTTTTCATCACATTTGAGGAAAAAATGTACTGTTGAATGGAAAATGCTAGGCTAAAGTTACGAAACGTGTTCTGGCAACCTCTTTATATATTAACCACAGATGAACAACTTTTCAAGAATGAAGAATATAAAAAGAGAGCTCCCATGATGAAAACACCTACCAACTATTTTATTTGGAACTAAAACATACAAGCATAACCATTTTATATTTAAAAAGTACATCATCAGATATAATTAACACAATAATCTCATATTTAGAGACTGGGTTGGTTTACGAAATATGGCAATGTGTGAATTTTTGAATGCTTTTGAAAAATATGAAGTGATTTTATTTTAATAAAATGTAATGTTACTTTTAGTGTTTGTTTAAAAGTTGACACCTTTTGTTAAATTAAAGATGAATGCAGATAATATACTATGTATAATTTTATTAAACTTTTAACTGCGTTTCACAACAATACTTTAGTGTATGTATGCTTTCTCTTTACTTTTAAAATTAATATGCTTGTAATGGTATTTGGCATTACAATGATTTCCAACAATGATTTCTCTGCTGACTTTTGTGTTTGCAGTGCCAGGCTTTAAACATGGCAGTAATTTTCAAACCTGACAATAATGACTTTTATTTTGGGAATAAAAACATGATAACGCTATTTTAGAATTTTCAAAATTTTACTCTTATTTCAAGAATTTTCCCTATTGTCTTTTATACTCCGTAAACTTTTCATTCATACATTTTTTTATAACAAACGCTCAAGAACATATTTTACCGTGTGAGGCACGGGTACACATACTAGTAAACAATATAATAAACGTAACTCTTTCACATGAACTCACCTGGGGCGTTGACTGGATGATTACCCGCAAATTGTCAAATTTAAACTTTTTATCCAGTTCAGAGTGTCAATTGGAGCTTTTTTTAGTTCAGGGGACGAGAAGAGCATTATGGACAGGTACAAGGGTCTATTTGACCCTTTATTAACACTATTAACATGCATTTTAACATCACAGTTATCAACACTAACCCCATTATACCATTTACCTATTAAAATTATTTCTTAAAATATACTCAAATTGCCTTATTTAATTATTGTCTAAATAACCGTGCCATTTTGCCATGTGAACCTTTCAACGGGACGGAGGTAGTAAAAAATTGTCAATTTGATTCTCGTACTATCACGAAAACGTCAATTAGATCCACATACTTTAAAGAAATCAATCAAATCGTTGAACTTTAAAAATGTTCAGTTGAGTCAATTAGCAGGTTACCTACCATGTCAGCAGGTCACCCGCTGACGTGGCATACACACGGCGGTCCACATGGCAGCTGCCACATCATCAGGAAGACTATTGGGCTTCCACATGTGCGTCGCGTCAACAAAGTCATCGTTGACTACTTGACTGGAGTGGCACATGTGTGTCACGTCACCAGGTGAAATAGGAATTATTTGTTTATATAATATGAAATAATCCATATGGAAATTGGAAAATAATAAAATTGTTTAACAAGCCTTCAATTTTTTTTAAAATTTACATATTCAATATTGGTGTCATATGAATGATAATAAAAAATTATAAAATTTGATATATTTTTTATAAAAATTGGAGCAAAAAATAAAAAACTATAGACCTTTAAAGAAAAATTGTGATTTTTATACCATAAATGGTGTCTCCCCCTTCCCTGCTGCTTGTTCTCGTATTACGCAAAGACGCGAAACCATTGGCGACTTGTAAGTCGCCGCTTCATTTGGCGACTTTGGTCAACCATAATTACTCCCAAGAGTATTTTGGTAAATATTTTTAACTTGATCCTAATTTTGTAAATAATTTTTTATTTTGCATTATTTTAGAAAAAAACTCACATATTTGATGGGTTGCCTTTAGTCGTGAAAGCCGGGCCTTTGGGAACACTGCCATTTAGTAGTAATCTTACATCCGCCTATTTTTTAGGCATTTTTTTAATTCTAAGAGGCACAAGCGGCCTAAATCTCTGTGAATATATATATATATATATATATATATATATATATATATATATATATATATATATATATATATATATATATATAGGGGTGAGATCACATACTAACCATTCCTCACATGCTAACCTACAAACTATCAAAAACGGTGCATCTTTACATTATTTGTACTGCATATTGAAGGTCAAAGTGTTGCATATTATTTGTACTGCATATTAAAGTTCAAAGTTTTGCATATTGTTTTTATTGCATATTGAAATTCACAGTGTGCATCTTTACATTATTTGTACTGCATATTGAAATTCAATGTGTTGCATATTATTGAGTTAGTAAGTTAGTATTTTAAGCATGGTTAGTATGTGATCTCTTATATATATATATATATATATATATATATATATATATATATATACATATATATATATATATATATATATATATATATATATATATATATATATATATATATATATATATATATATATATATATATATATATATATATATATATATATATATATATATATCGGGAGTGGTTCCAATGAGAACACCTCTTATTGTAAGAAATGAGAACAAATCCTAGACATTAATCATATATAATGAACGGCAGATTGATCGGGTGGTGCATAATAATATGGTGCACTTGATCGCGTGTGACAACTTTTTCTACTAGTAACACTTTGAAACGTGAATTATTTGAGGACACAAGTGTCCTTTACATAGCCCATTACCTTTTATGGATTTGTACGTTTCCTACTTGTATTTAATGAAAATATTCATTATTACGTTAGTGGACTTTAAAGTCAACCTTGACAAATAAGAGAGTTTTATTTTTGGAACTAACCGAAATATATTATATATAAAAAGACGGCTGTTTTAAAAGTGTATGAGTTGGATTCTATAATTGCAAATGTATTTGTGCATGAGATAGTAAAATATATGCAAAAAAGACTCGAAATAGTCAATAGTGCACTTATGAAAGGTAAATGTGTATTTCTAATGTTTAGGTGGATATAGAATTTGGATACATATTATGATGTCTAGGTGTTTCGCCATTCAACAATAAAAGTGCACATGTATGTATTTTGCAGCTATTGACATATATACATGTGCACGAGATATTGAAATAAATGTAAAAAAGATTTTAGAAACGGTGCGTTATGTATGTACTGTACATGTGCATTTTAGTAATGTTTAGGTGGATAGAAAAACTTGATCCTAGTAAACGTCACTTGCATAATGCTATATTTGTAATGTATATATGCATTTCTGACTCTAAACAATGCATAATATACTATCGTACAAAACAAGGTGCATAATATAATATCTGAAATGTGACTAAATTGATGTAAATTAGGTGCAAGGAGTTTAATGATCGATGAAAAGTTGAATGATTTATAAGATACGCAAGTGCAAAATATAACTACGAATTGTGCATGTTAGTGTCTTTAAGTATGCAAAAGATATTTAAAATAGTGACTCTAAATGAATTTATTTGAGTTTAAATGCATTACTAAGCTATAGTTGTGCAAATACAAAGGTTCAAAATTTATTGTGCAAAAAATAATAATTAATAATTCAAAGCTTGCTAATAATTGTGAAAAATTAATGTATCTCACCTTCAAATAATACAATAACATATCACATTAAATTCAAGTACACTAACGTATTTATGTAAGTTATCTTGTACAAATAGCTTAATTAATAGGTCCGTATACTGCATGTGTATTCACAATATTTTGAATGGTTAGTGGTGTATTATTATATATTATATATAAATATAAATATATTATATATAGAAGATCACCTAATAATGACGATGTTTCCTTGAATATCAGAAGTTGTTATTCCGGATTGCTGGGACAAAGTTAGTTACCATAATAAATTAACTTGGATTGATTACTAAAATGCCCAAACGTTAAAGTTAGATCAAAGCATCCAAAGACTTGATATAAACGGTCAAGATTAGTTTTCATTTCTTACGTTAAGAGTTGTTCTCATTTGAACCAATATATATATATATATATATATATATATATATATATATATATATATATATATATATATATATATATATATATATATATATATATATATTAAACTTCAGGGGGGTCCGGGGGAGGGGGCTGGGGGGACCTGGAGTAATCAGGACTGAAACTCATTCCATTGAGTTTCTAACCCTTGTGTGCCTAGCGGGATTCGAACTCGAGACCTCCCACTAGGCACGGTAACCCTTCTGTAAATATATATCTTTCTCTTCGGTCCGTTCAATTCACATTGCCTCGTACTAATTTGGTAAAATTTGTGTGATTCTAAATTATTCTTACTTTATCAATTCAATATCAATCACATAAATTTATTTTTCTTACTAACCGTGTCACTTTGTCTTGTTCCAATGTTAGTGGGACGAATAAGGTAGTATCTTCTATTTACAACTACATGTTTCTGGATTTTATTAAAGATTTACTTCTCTACACTTCACTCATATTTAAAAAAAAAATTAATACATTTTCAAGATTTGGTGTTTATGTTAAAAACAATTACAATGCATAATAATATACCCCGTATTATATTGGTAGTTTTTGAATGTTGTGTTAGGAACTACTTTTTTGTATGTCATATTTTTTTTCCAGTTGTTTATTTTAAAAGAAAATGGTCAATATGACAAAACTTTTCAGGAGGGGCTGACGGAGCCAGGGAGGTAGTATGTGTTTAGTAATATAAGATGTAATTTTCTCAACTTAAATTTAAAAAAAAAAGCGAGTAGAGTTTTATCAAGAAGAAATTAAAGAGCAGGGAAAAATGAAAGAAAGTGAAAAGCTAAGGTAATTTTAAAATGGAAATAAAACATTGCAACAAACAGATTGTTTATGAATGATGGAAAAGGTGGCTAGCTAACGGCGGCTGGCAGTGATGATGGCTGCGAGAGTGAGGAGGTCTTGGGTGGAGGTGCCATCGGGCGCAACAGCTTTGTGGAGGGAGTCTCTGTAGGCTTGAACTTGGGAGCGGAAGGCGGTGGCGCGGAGGGCGGAGTGAAGGGCGGCCTTGGTGGCGGGCGCGGTGAAGACGCCGGACTCCACCCGGGCTCCAATCCTCCACACGTTCTCCACCATCCAGGAATTCATGTAGTGATCCCCGAAGAAAGGCCTGCAAATCAAGGGCACCCCCGCCGCGATGCTCTCCAGCACCGAATTCCACCCGCCGTGGCTCACAAACACCCCCACCGACGCATGCCCCAAGACCCTCACTTGAGGGGCCCAGCTCACTATCTTCCCGTACCCCTTCGCCCTCTCCACGAACCCCTCCGGCAACCCCCTCACCGCCTCCTCCCTCAGCGACCACAGAAAAGGGGTCTCCGTCGCCTCCACCGCTTCCGCCAGCGCCGCCAACTCCTCTGCCGGCGGGATGCACACCGTCCCGAAGGCTATGTACGCCACAGATCCTTCCCGCTGCCCGTCCAGCCACGCCATGCACCCTCCGTCCTCCTGCGGCGCCGCCGCCGCCGCCGGGGCGGTCACATTGAACGGCCCCACGTTGAGGATTGATGTTGCGGTCTTGATGAGTTGATTCACGGCAGCCGGCTCCAGGTCCTGGAAGGAATTGATGGCCACCGCGGTGGCCTTGGGTAAGGTGCGCCCCATCTTGTGGAGCATCACGGCGAACGGCGACTCTAGGTTACCGGTGATGATCCCCTCCTGTATATCTCCCGCCCGTACCTCCGCTATTCCAGGAATGAATCTCAGTCTCTCATCTTCACGTTCCCTCATTCCTGCAAGTCCACCACCACTCAAAATTAACTCATCAACATATACAATCATACCTTAGCTCTTTACTCAGGGCTAGCTCAATTTAAAATGGTGAAGAATTAAATTGGTACGTGCTCAATTTAAAACAATAATAATGTAAAACTCTACTCCTTTATGACTAAGCTAATATGCCCCTTGTTTTTCAATGATTTATTAGTTAACTAACTTCTAGATTGGATTTTTAACTGAACTTTTTTGGCATATTGTACAATTTAGCTTCACATAGTCACACAAACACACATATATAGTCCGATTTCAATAAAAAAGAATTTGTAAAATACAAAATGTGAACGCCTCCATTTTTTGGGTATCTGAGTTGTACTATTGCATTGAAAAATTTCCCCTCATCCACTCTAATTCATTTACCGTACACAACTTGACATTGAAAATTTACTTTTGCAAAGAGGAAAGACTTTAATTTATTTACAAAAATGTCACCTCATTTTTCATCCACTTAATGCATTTTTGACGTATTTAGAACAATTAGATCCTATTCCAGATTTATTCCTATTTTTAATGGAAGTAACTATTTGTATATATATGAAGGGGAGCTCAATTTGAGAACCATTATACTTTTCACTCGCACTATTTCATGTTTGTATTGCACTTTTTAGAAATCAATCAAGCGCATTTTTCATCACTTATTTTTAGTCGTTAGATTAGATAGATGTGGAATCGAATGCCGATGACAAAAAGGAGAAGAGTTGTACAAGTACAGACTCGCCCGTGAGCATGGAGAGAATGAACAATAATTTATTCCAGAATCTACTTTAAACATATGCCCATAAGCATTTTATGGGAATCTACTTTAGGAGGAAGTTAATTGTTGTCTCTCTTAGCTTCTCACATTTCCTTAATCTCTTGTACGGAGTTGAGTTACTTTTGGAAATTGTATTAGGGACGGAGGTAGCATAACGCAGCCAGAGTTGAGTTTCCCGTATCCGAGCATGGGAAACGCTGAAAACGCGTGGACCGAGAAAAAACAGAGTTTCGACAAAAAAAAAAACGGTTAAAGGGTCAAATAGGTACATGAACTAACTTAAAGTGTTCAATTAGTCCCTTATATAGGAGGTTCTGTCCGGTCGTCGCCAAATCGGAATTTTTTGATGAAATTTTTTTAGCATCTTCTTCATTAAGTCCAGTTTACCCATATCAAATTTCAGCTAAAAATTAAATCGGGAAGACAGTCAAATGATTTTCCGAAATGTACTGCGCTGTTTAACTACGCAGTTATCTTCAAAAAATCATTTGACTGCCTTACCGGTTGAATTTTTAGCTGAAATTTGGTATGCGTAAACTAGACTTGATAAAGAAGATGCTCAAAAATTTTCATCAAAAAATTTCATCGGGAACCGCCCCAATTGGCGACGTCCGGACAGAACCTCCTATATAAGGGGCTAATTGAACACTTTAAGTTAGTTCATGTACCTATCTGACCCGCCAAAAAAAATTAGGGCTTTTTTTACGTTCCAACGATGAGGAAGCCCAAACACTAAAATTAGTACAAGTAAAACCTTTCTTCTTCACTCTTCATATATTGTCTTCAACCCTACGCCTATCACTTATGATGTTTTTACTTGGATTGTAATTTGCTGGTCTGGACTGGTCTGATCTGGTCTGGTTTCTTTGTATTTTTATAACTATCCAAGTCCGACCTGGTCTGGTCTGGACTTGTCTGGGACAAATTACAGTCCAAGTAAAAGCATCCTTAATCTGTCATCGGCTTCAGCAGCGGTCTTGAACAGGTAACTCCGTAACCACTTTCAATTCCTCCGTAGGTGGCTCGTTCGCTATATTGTTATGAGCTAGCTTGTACCATTATAGATTTTGTTTGTAAATATATATAGGCCAGCTTCAATCCCTCCCTTCATTATTTCACTATTAATTAAATTGTGATAAAGTGCCGGTTGGTGTAAATGGGCATATGAGTGGGTGGGTGTGGGTTTAAAGTGAAATTTAATAGTGGTGATGATGTGTATCCACTAGCCACTTGGCAGCTTTACTTTTTTTTGGAGCTTGGCAGCCTTACTTTGTACTCCGTATCACATAAAATGTTTATATTTTGTTGAATAGTTAAAGTCTTAAAGATGCATTTATGTGTGTGTCAAAAAGATTAGTCATTTCCATTTAAAGTAAAAAATATGTGGCTAGAGTTAATTCTCTCTCCTCTGCACAAATTTCAATCACACAGTTTTTACTTTATTAATCCACGTGAGAGTCAACTTTGACCAACCTTTTCAGGACGGAGGGAGTAATATTTATAAAATGACCCCTCTATTTTTAATATTTGTGCGTTTCCCCTACGTTTAGTGTCTTGTATTTTTTGAAAATGAAGTGATTTCTTTGAAGTGTGGGGGACTGGGACAACATCCTTAGATTAGAAGACTATCACTCGGACCGATACAAATATAATACGCGTAAAATAAATAATTGAAGAAGAGAGAAATAAATTAGGGAGTATGTAGGTAGGTACCTGGAGGGAGTGTTTGCCTGATGAGATCAGTTTGGAGGTGGAGCAATAGGGTGGTGGCGGCGGAGGTCCAGACGGGAACCCACGGCACCCCCATCTCAGCCGCCGCCGCGTGCGCAAACCACAAAAAAGCATCGGCCACCACGCAGCCGAACCTGAGGCCGGACTCCTTTTCGGCGGCAGCAAGGCTGTTTTGGAGACTCTGCGGCGCGGTGTCTAGGAACATGGCGATCTGGTCCTCCAAGCCGGCGCCGCGACATTCGGGCACGGCCAAGTCGGAACGCTTGATGTTAGGCGGCGGCGGGGTTTGATCTCCGAATAAGCTGGCATTGGATTTGGCGGTGCAGAAGAAGGTAAAGGTGGCGTGGGGTTCGGCGGCGGCAATGCGGCGCACCAGACGGAAGAGCAGGCTGGGGTGGGTTGCGAAGGGGAAGGCCAGAACTGCCACGTGGCGCGCACCCATGATCTACCTATTATTATTATTATTACGAATGAAGGAAGGAAGTTATGGATGAAGGCAGAAATGAATGAAGGGCCACTTGTGTTGCTATAAATGGGCGGTTGCGCTGCAGGCCCGCATATTTATTATTATTTCTAAATAAATACTACGTACGTATATATATAGATATAGGTGGACTGGGCAAATGTTTGGTGCGTGGGTCAGAAGCATATATTACGTATGCGCGCTGGTTGGTAGAGCTAATGCATGGTGGGTTATTGGTTCTCAATTTGTCATGCACGCGTCCCACCCACGCACATTATCCTAACAAACACCACATCTTTCATTCATTCAATAATGTTAAATATAATTTTGCGTACTTAACTTCAAGTTAAGAAAATAACTCACAACTTTAATATTCAACAAGCTTCAAGAACAAAGCCAAGAAATGGAAGTTTAGCTCCTCATTTGAAGACTAAACATACTAGAAAATATAAAGAAATAACTATTCTAAACTGAGTTTAATAGTTTGGAAGAAGGAATGATTTTAGTGAAGGAAAGTGTGCTATTTATAGGTGTTTTCAACACCTTTGGCCGGATACCCGACCGGGTATAGGGCATACTCTACCGGCTACTGATCAACTTCGGGTCAATTCTCTATGATCTTGTGTTCAGCACGTATGTTTGTCCGGGTCACAACATACCCGATCGGGTAGAGCACCTTACCCAATCAGGTAAGTGTGTAACTTCTCTGAGCACCTTCCTGTTTCTTGTCATACCCGACCGAGTGACGTTTCCTACCCGACCAAGTATTGGTTCTGAGCAGTTTCCTTTACTTCAAAGTCCCTTTTTCAATACCAAAATCTCTACCACTACTTTACAACTTACAAATAAATGTTAAAAACAATTACACAAAATCACATAAATGTTTACAAACTAAGCAATAACGGTAAACAATCCACACAAAACAATCATAATATAACAAGAAGCATTTATGCACTACTACCTAGTGCACATTATTAATGGCCCTCAGCAGACTGAGTCTAATCATCATGGGGTCGGTCTACCACTGACATTTGTGACTGGGTTGCTCTCACAGGACCCTCACGCACACTTGGATGACTCCCTTGGGCAGGCTCAGAGAGGTTTATATGAGCCATCGGGAGTATGATGTTGTTCCTCTAGCAGTAGCGAATGACTGCTTCATTTTCTGCATCGACTAACTGCAAAAGAAGAAATGGTAGTGGAAGTGCAATCATAGAGGAGTCCTCTTTGACCTTTTGCAGGTACTTCAGTACAAGAGTAATAACGTGCTCAGTTGATGGTCTATGGTGTATGGTCATAGTTGTTTTGGAGAATCTTCTCACCAGCATTGAGAACCACCGCATGTAGGGCATATTGACGTGCACTATGTCGTGGTGTGCACTCAAAATAAATAATACAATACAACAAATATACGTAGTATATTGAAGTAAGGTTCGTATCCGCAGGGAAAGGAATACTTCTCTTTTTATAAACTAATAAGTAAAGGGGGGGGGGGGGTTTGATTGTATGATTAAATTGAACACGAAGATGAACGAGTTATGTGGTTTAATTAATGAGAAGAAGACTTGGCTTTGCTTTTATCCACTTAATGAAATGTTCGTCGATCCCGGTTATATCTTTAACTATCTTCCTCTCGAACACTCAATCGAGGAGTATATCCAGTTCATCGAGGGTAGTTATTAATAACGAGAAGCGTTCATTAACAAAACTTATTATCGAGTCAATATAGAACAAGCGCCGTATATTAACTTGATAGTAGCAATAAGCTTAAGATGAAAACGATTGAGATTGATAACTTCAACACAAGCGGTTTATTGGTTTAATCAATATAATTAATTCCCCTTAGATTATTAACCATGAAAAGCATGTATTAGCAATCCAAGTTTACTACCATTGAAAGAACCGAATTAATAACAAGCGTATTAACCGATTGATTCTAGTAATAATTAATATATAGAACAAGACTAGTTGATACTTTAAGTAATGCTCAATATATTAATATGGGATATGAATAGGAAGTAATTAATATTCAAGGAAGAGGATTAAAGAAAATAACTCACAACTTACAAATCATTAAGCTTCAAAGTAGCAAAACCAAGATGGAAGAGTTTAGCTCCTCATTTGGAGACTAAACATGATAAAAATATAAAGAAAGAACTTGTCTAAACTGAGCTTAGAAGTATATAGGAATTGGTGTCTAAAAGTGGAGGAAAGGAGGTGTATTTATAGGTTTTTTGGGGTGTAGGTCGGATACTCGATCGAGTATATAAATGTACTCGATCGAGTATGTGTATAAAGCTGAATTCGATCCATACTCGATCGAATTTAGAGTGGAATTAATAGCCATACCCGATCGAGTATGTCGGTGTACTCGATCGGGTATAGACACTCGATCGTGGGGAAATCTTCTTCTGCATGTTCCTTTGTTTTCGGATCCGATCCAATTTGAAATTTCAACCAGATACTCGATCGAGTATAGGGGATACTCGACCGAGTATAGACGAAAATCAGGATTCTCTTCTTTTGTCTTGTGATTTTGCACCTTCCTTTCACTTTTGGGGTTCACCAACCATCCTTTGAGTGATAGTAGACCTGTTTGAGCTCAGAATAATCCTAATCTAAACAATTTACAAGATTTCAACAAACTAAACTATTACACCGAAAATGTGTAATTTCCGAAATACTAAACAACCAAAACTAACTAAAAATGTAAATAAACACACGGAAATTACAAACGTATCAACTCCCCCACACTTAGTTCTTTACTCGTCCTCGAGTAAAGTTCAATGTTTACAAGTGTAAAGATTCCCAGAGTTTCAATCGTTCTAACAAGATAAAAAAACACAAAGACCACCAAGGACAAAATATGAGTTTAAATGCTCAATTTACAAATGTCATTTTGGGTTTAATGGTCTTCTAGTGTTCATCTTCTCCTCCTCTTCTTCTTCCTTCTTCCAAGAGATCAAATGAGTTCCATGATGAGTCTCCTCCCCCACACTTATTTTAAGCACTGTCCCTAGTGCCCGCCTTCTCCACCGTAGAAGCCGCCTCCAAATCCGCCTCCAAAGCTTCTGTCACCCATATGAGTATCCCCGCCGTCCCCGCCGTCATAACCTCCACCCCCGAAGCTTGATCCTCCAAAGTTGCCCCATTGAGTGGGGTCATACCAAGAGGGTGGTGGTGGTGGTTGAGCCATGGTGTGGAATTGGCCTTGATGAGCCATGTAAGAATACATAGGTCCATAGAACCTACGTTGATCTTCTTCATACCTTCGGTTGTCTTCGGCCCGTTGTTCCTCTAGTCTCTGGAATCCCGCTCTTTGTTCCTCCCGATATTTCCCAACTTCATTGGTGACTTTGTTGAACCCTTCAAGGAGTTGTTGGAAGTAATCGGGGGGTGGGAAAGTTTGGTTTTGTTCGGGCATGTAGGGAAGTGCATCCTCGGGTTCGTGTGGCTCGGGTTGAGGTTCTTGGTCGGGTTGATCTTCGGGGGGGTCTTGGGCTTGAGGCTCTTGGAAATGTGGTGGGAGGGCGTGAGGGAATAGGTAGTGAGGCTCCTCGAACTCCGGTTTGTAGCGTAGTTTGGGGGTGTCTTGGCTTGGCATTAGGAAGTATTGGACAGGTTGTACATGTATGACCCAATTGTAGATGTTTTTTGGTTGATCTCCAATATAAACCGTATGGGAAAAAGATGTACATCCCGAGCGTCCTAGCCAACCCATATCCATCAAGCAATAGTCGGGTATAGGAGAGTTGTCCGTATACCCGAATTTGCTTGCCAAATGCATTATCACTCCACCCACAACTATGGCACCTTTGGCTAAACTTTCCTTTTTTAGATGTGCCCACATAAGATTGCACAGATTGAAGTCTACGTGACGACGAAACAAAGCCACAGAAATCAAACACACGTCCCCGATCCTAGTGTGGTGGTTGTTGGGACGTCCAAGCAAACAATTGGCTAAAAATTTCAAGAATAACCGGAGGACGGGGTGTTGGACATGACTAATATACATTTGGGAGGAACTAAATTTCACTTCCCCAGTCATCTTTGTCCATAGGGTGTGCCCGAAGATGGTGCAATCCGAGATGGCTCTCTCGTAGGGCACGGGGATGCCAAAATGTTCGGCAAACTCAAGTTTTGTAATCGAATAATTTTGATTGAATAAACGAAACTTGAGTTTATCATCCCTAAAATCATCCTCATCACTCTCAAATTGCACCGAGCTTATGAATTCATAGATAATTCTTTCATTTGAGTTGTATCTCATTTTGAAAATACGATCCATATTCAACTCATAAAAGAACCTTTTCATACTCTTATAGACTCCTAATTCACGTAGAGCATCATGGCATAGAAAACGGGAAGGTTTTACTTGCCTTTTTGTTGTTGCTAGGAGTCTAGTTCGGTGTTCGGCGTCGGCGGGAATGATGTCTTCAAAGCCCGGGATGGGTGCTATGGTGATTGAGCTCTCTCCTCTATTCTTCCTTGGTGCCATTTGTGAAGCTTTTGAGCTTAAAGAGGCAAGAATTCGAATGGTGGTAGGGTTTTTGGGATTTGGTGGAAGTTTGGGGAAAATGGGATTTTTGGGTATAGATATGGAGAGGAGAGTGAAGGGAGTATTTTGGTGGTGGAATGGGTTGATTTGGTGGAGAATTAAGAGAGATATGGTAGAGAGAAGGGTTGAAAATGGAATTTGGGGGAGAGGGGGTTCGAATTTTTGGAGAGTGTTGGGGAAGATGAAGTGTTTTGGGTGTATTTGGGGTTATATCCGCAGGGGTACCCGATCGAGTATCCCTGTATACCCGATCGGGTACCCGAGACAGGGAATAAGATTTGGGTGTTTTCTGGGCATACTCGACCGAGTATCAACCTATACTCGATCGAGTACTGGAGCCAGGGGTTCATTATTTTTATTTTTCTACCAATACTCGATCGAGTATGGTTATGTACTCGATCGGGCCTCAGAGACAGGCATTCGATGGAGTTGATTTTCAAGGCATACTCGACCGGTTATGTTTCAATACTCGATCGAGTATGCCTGTATCTTTGAAAATTGATCTTTACCTCGATCGAGTATGGAAATCGGGTCCCCTTTTTTACCCATACCCGACCGAGTATTACAGAGTACTAGAT